TTGTTCAGGGTGCCAATGTATCACATTTAGACAGATTTTTTGTCAACTTATCATTTGATACGTTTGTACTATAGGCAGGAAGTCGATCATGACTTAAGTGTTATTAAATAATAATCCAAAGAGATAACAGTTATATTTCTTGTACTCAATTTAGGAAATTTATTTCAAAATCAATTAGCATATGTCTGTATTTGTGGAAGGGACGTGTATTTGTAGTCACATTCCACGAACTGCCGGGGTGTTATTGTTGCTTTTTTTATTAAATATACAGAAATCACGTCCATGTTTGTATATGATTATTTTTGTTTCACTTGTGCGTTTCTTTTATTTTTGCTATTTTGACTGCCACTTTTGATTGTTTGTTCACACTCAATTATAAAAATAATTATTTCGACATGTTTGTGTCCATGCATAGACATTTAAAAGCGAACATGGATGGAATGGGTGCGGATGAATAGTAAATTCTGTAAATTTAGGTGCATAGATAAGAAAAAGTGTTTTTTTTGGCGCTTTGGATTAAGATTAAGAGCATTTTATTCATCTATTCGAATCGTATACATACCCAGCAAAAAACTAGGTAATGACTTGTACTTACATAACCACTTACTCTTCAATGATTACTTATCATTTGCATTACTTTTAAGTACTCTTCTAATGACTTACCTACAATCACATACATAAGTACTTTACTCTGTGTGAGCATTTTTTGCGACAAAACCAGTTTTTAACTCCTTATTTGTAAGTACTTATTTACGTAGTGATTTGTAATGGAGGTACTTGCTTCAGTTTTCTAGCTTTAAATCCTATTATAAGATTTGTATAGTTCTGATTTGGCTTAAATTATGAATTTTCCTAAAGCCCTAAATCTCCCTCAGTTATTGACTTTATATCGTTTTTAAGTCCCAGTTAAGCTTCTATGCTTATTTATCTGCTTTCATTTTTATCCCAACTATATTTTATTTAAATAAAAATATATATAAAATTCACAATACATTGTTCATGTGACACAATAAATTTAAAAAAGAAAAATTTGAAAACAAACCTAATAGACAACAATACAGACAAAGTGACAGTTGGACAAAATGAAATGATGCATGGAAATAAGCCAAATTGTCATACATATAACCAACTTTGTATATACAAACATCTACACAAACATACATACATATGTGAACATTAATTTGTTAATACAACTGCAAATAAACACACTCAAGGGAGAGAGTATAAAATAAATATACTAGAGATTTTTTTTGGCGGCCTTATGTAGTCTTGTCTATAAGGAAATTTAAACGAAGGTCTAAATGAACATTTTGGTTGCTGTTTTTTCTTAATTTTTTTTCCTCATTGAATTATTTATGTTTTTTGTCCCGGCAGACTATAGGTATTGGTACCACCTCTTTTCCCCAGAATTGTAATAACTCCAAGATGAGGGTCTTTCATCAAGGTAACATGCCCCAGGGGGGTGGGGGGAGATTTCAACAAACATAGCTTAATATAGCTTCGCTACCCTAACTTACAAAATACATAAAAAATTAGTTTTATATTTCAGTGTTCAATATTATATACAATTCAAAAAATATAATTTAATGAATGAAAAAGTACCAAAAGTAGATTCTCATTCACTAAGGTCCTTACATTATAAATTTTATTTTCAATATCGTAAAAATATCAAAAAGTACCATCGGAAAAACGAAAAAGTACAAAAATCTCTCTCATTTAATAAGGACCGTGTGTTTCGGTTAACCATTATAAAGAATCTAAAAGGTACCATTTGAAGAATAGAAAAGTATCAAATAGTTCCCACATATAGAATATTATTTAGCCAAGACCATGTATGTTAAAATTAATGTTCCTAGGTGGAATATTTTAGAAAATTAAAAAAGTACCATTTCTGAAATAAAAAGTACTAAAAAGTTCTCTCTTAAAGATTCTTATTCAATGAGGACCGTGTATGTTTAATAATCATGTGTTTTGAATTCATATTAAAAAACATACAAAGAGTATCATTTGAAGAAAGAAAAAGTACCAAAAGTGGAATACATTTTACCTAAGTGGAAAGTACTAATAAATAGAGTATAATTTTTCCCCTTTTCGCACAGAAATATATAGTTTTTCGAAATTTAAGTTAAAAAATGTTCCGTATTTAAATCTATCTATTACAGATTAAACTCAAACGATTCAAATATGCATTCATTTGTTCCAGAACAATAGTGCTTTCAAACAGTACCAAACAATTTACTCGAATTTGGTGCTATATAGGCATTAGTACTCGAATTTTGTATGAGCAAATAAACTACTTTTTAAAATTTTATAAAAATTGTCTCAATAAGTTTGAATAAAATTAAATTTCCCGTTTTTTCCCTTTTTGGTACTTTTTTTTCCAGTGAAATAGCAAAAATTTTATTACAATAAATATCACAGAGTTAGTCCGTAATTTAATAGGAATAATTCAATAAACCGGAAAAGTTTTCTTAATGTTTTAAAGAAAGTACCATAAATATAGTTTTCTTCCTTTTACACGCAAAAAGGACTGAATTTTAAAAAAGTACACAATAGGTGTCTCATAATTTTGGGAGATGTATCCAAAATATTTATAAAAATTTTATTATGTTAACTAGTTCAAAAGTTATAAAGGGCCAAAAAAGGTACCAAAATCACCTTTGTTATACATTTTTACCCCTTAAAAGTACGAATTTCAAAAAAGTACCAGACACCCATATGCTCATTGTAAGAGTAGATACAGGTGTTTCCCCTTTTTATCCGTAAATGTACAAATTTCCAAAAATCCCTCCTTAGTGGATCTACATAACCAAAAGCACATCTACTGTCAAAATTTCATGATTCTAGGTTCAGCCGTTTGGGCTGTGCGATGATGAATCAGTCAGTCAGTAACGCTACTCTTTTATATATATAGACTACGAAAATAAATTTTGTGTTGCGTAGGTTATTGGAAAGATCCCTTTAGGGTGCACGTGGTGATTGTGGTTGAAATTTGTATCGCGGAAAGAGAATGACAGTTTAATGATAGATGGTAATATTTCGGAATATGCTCGATGCTGTTATCGTAAAGACTACAAAGACTTCTCAGAGGAATAAGGCCAAAAGTTGGTAAAAACTTTTTGTCAAATGAATGGGATATAGGTTATATCTCTGATTTAATGAGATATAGATTATATCTTTGTTTTGCGGATATCCTCAATAATGGATACTCGTGTCAATGTGTCGGATGTTTTCACAATGAAATAGTTAAAGTAACTTGTGCGTTGCCCATCACTGACTCATACACACTTATGTATATATACATACATATGTTTTCTTTTAATTTATTTGTTTATTTTCAAGGTAAATCCGAATTAAAAGAAAAAAACAAAGAAAATATAACAGAAAACTTATTGATACAAATTAAATGTTTTAAATTTATTGTCATCTTTAAAAAGATTAACAATTTCAACAGCAGTAAATTTCGAAAATTTTTCAATATTCACAATAAATTATTTTCCTCGTATACTGATTAATTTCCTTATTAAACCTTATTAAGTAGAACATTTAAGCAACATTTAAATTTAAAACAGAACTTTCGACCTCCCTCATGTATAGTTAATTTATGATAAAACTTAATTGTTCTTACCCACAATAACGACAAAAAGTACATTAAATTATAATATGACTATTTTAATTCCTCACATTTTTTTCATTGCTTCCAATAATGTGTAATTTTAACAATCTCATCAATTTATTGAGATTTAATGATTTGTTTATATATGTATGTATATCTGACAACGAACAGCCAGTCAGAGTCATGTTAAGTCTGAAATGTTTATATATTATCGACCATTGATTTTTGTTTCCATATACATATATAGGGAGCCAGCCACAGAGGCTGGTAAAAGCCAAAAAGCTACTTTCCACCAATAAGCAAACATTAATACATATAAAGAATTACAGACTGGTCAAAAGGACGGACATATTGTCTGTCTGTTAGACAGATGAACTCAATCAGTTTTCAGTATATCATTATCATCTTCGTCGTCATCATTATTATCATCATCCTCACCAACGTTGTCAATTATATTAAGTGGAATACTTTCGCACTGCTCGTATTTCATTTTTATATTTTTATACCCTACACCACTTTAGTGGGGAGGGTATATTGGATTTGTGCTGATGTTTGTAACATAGAAAAATATTCGTCCTAGACCCACCTTAAAGTATACCAATTGGCTTAGAATCGTTTTCTGAGTCGATTACGCTATGTCCGTCCGTCTGGCTGGCTGGCTGTCCATGTAAACCTTGTGCGCAAGGTACAGGTCGCAATTTTCAAGATAATTGGATGAAATTTGGCGCGCCTATTGAAATGGTTAAAATCGGTCCATTATTTCACCTAGCCCCCATAGAACAGGTCCCCCCAAAAAGTGCTTCTGAGCTCATAATTATGTTAAATATACAGATATATCGATAAATTACGGCACAACTAAGTTTTATAGAAGTCTTGATGACCCTGCCAAATTTCATAAAGATCGGGCCCCATCTGACCCTAGCTCCATACAAAGTCCCCTTCAGAAAATTACTTGAATGTTCCAAATTAACTTATAAACACAAATATCGCGATGAAATTCAGTACAATAAAATATTATGTAAATATAAATATATCCACAAAATTTTATCGGGCTTGGTCCATATTTGCCCCTAGCCCCCATATAAAGCCTCTTTCAGAAAATTAGTTTTTCATTCATAAATTGCTTAAATGTATCGGGACAAGGGAATATTGAAGATAAATGCTTCATTATGAAAAATAAATCACATTTAATATTCATAACTGGTGTAGGGTATCATATGGTCGACCACGCCCGACTATACTTTCTTAGTTGTTCGTTTTAATGCTTGTTAGTTGGAATTGGTCCAGTTTATTTAATTGGTTAAAATATTAAAAATCTTTTTTTTTTTGTAAGAAACAAGAATTTTAATTTAATTTTCTTTATTTTTTTTTTTTCTATTTTCAGTCTTCGCCTCCTTCTGCTCTCTTAAATGGTTCAGCACTTTTCTTAACCTCTCCTACAACTAAAGATATTTCTACATCCTCTCTAGCCTCTGCTACTAATGACGTCAATTTGATTGTGGCAAATAAACTGAATGCATTAGGAATGCATTCGAATCATCATCAACAGCAACAACAACACACCACCCAGACATTGCCTCAAGGCTGTAATCGGTAAGTTTATGGCTAAAATATTTATATCTGTGTGTGCAATTGTATGTATTTTTCAATATTAATGTAATTTTTTTGTTTTTCTTCATTTATTCTGAAGTCGTTTTTTTGTTCTTTTTTTGCTTTTTTTATAATGAATTTCTGCTTTAATATTTCTTTGCGTTTTTTATTTTCTTTTCATATTTTTATGACCTGTCATTATTCATTAGACCCCGGCTATTTAAACATTTATGGCAACATTTGTTTTTCAGTTTATTACATTTGGTTTATGACTTAAATGTCATAATTAAGTTGCACTCATACGTAGTTCATAAATAATTTTTAATATTCCATTTTTATAGGATATTTATAGTTAAAATTTTATTAGTTTCACGAAGTTTATATTATAATGATAACTATGTAAACTATTGGGGGTTTTTTATACTCTACAAGAAATTCTTGAATTTGACAGAAAAATGTTAATTATTTCACTATGTATTTGTTAACCTTTAAAAAGTTTTTATGTCATGCATTTCGTTCATCATTACATAATGGTAAATTCTACCCCAATCAAATTAGTTTGATCAGATCCGTTTTGCCATTTGAGCGATTTTTCAACGAAATATTTTTGGAAAAGTTTAACAGTTTGATCCTAGCAGTGGGTTATATCATACCAATAATCCTACAGTGACCAACGCTTTATATTATACTAGCATACCCTGGGTGCTTCGCTACCCTAACCAAAATTAAATACATACAAAATTTTGATTTAAAAATTTTCTTATTTGTTCCAAAAAAATTGTGCCTTCAAAAAGGTACCAAACAATTTACTCGAATTTGGTCCTATATAGGCCTTAGTACTCGAATTCCAAAATAATATACCAATAGCTTATTTTGTGTGAGTAAATAAACTACTTTTTCAAATTTTATAAAAATTGGCTCAATGAGTTTGAATAAAATTAAATTTCCCGTTTTTTCCCCTTTTTTTGTACTTTTTTCCCCAGTGAAATAGCAAAAAATTTGTTTCAATAAATATTATAGAGCTAGTCCGTAATTTAATAGGAATACTTCAATAAATCGAAAAAGTTTTCTTAATGTGCAAAAAAAAGTACCAAAAATAAAGTTTTCTCCTTTTACACCCAAAAAGGACTGAATTTTAAAAAAGTACGAAATTTTGGGAAATATATAAATAAAATATACAAAAATTTTATTTTGTTTATCAGTTAAAAAGTTATAAAGGGCCAAAAAGGTACCAAAAACACCTTTGTTACACATTTTCACCCCTTAAAAGTACGAATTTCAAAAAAGTACCAGACACCCATCTGCTTGTTTTAAGAGTAGATACATGTGCATTTCAAATTTTTCTTGTATCACTAATATTAGGTAAGAAAATTAAGGAAACCTGTTTTACACGTTTTTTCCCTTTTTTACCCCTAAATGTACAAATTTTCAAAAATCCTCCCTCCTTAGTGGATCTATATAACCAAAAACACATCTACTGTCAAAATTCCATGATTCTAGGTTCAGCCGTTTGGGCTGAAATTTGAACTTTCGACCTCCCTCATGTATAGTTAATTTATGATAAAACTTAATTGTTCTTACCCACAATAACGACAAAAAGTACATTAAATTATAATATGACTATTTTAATTCCTCACATTTTTTTCATTGCTTCCAATAATGTGTAATTTTAACAATCTCATCAATTTATTGAGATTTAATGATTTGTTTATATATGTATGTATATCTGACAACGAACAGCCAGTCAGAGTCATGTTAAGTCTGAAATGTTTATATATTATCGACCATTGATTTTTGTTTCCATATACATATATAGGGAGCCAGCCACAGAGGCTGGTAAAAGCCAAAAAGCTACTTTCCACCAATAAGCAAACATTAATACATATAAAGAATTACAGACTGGTCAAAAGGACGGACATATTGTCTGTCTGTTAGACAGATGAACTCAATCAGTTTTCAGTATATCATTATCATCTTCGTCGTCATCATTATTATCATCATCCTCACCAACGTTGTCAATTATATTAAGTGGAATACTTTCGCACTGCTCGTATTTCATTTTTATATTTTTATACCCTACACCACTTTAGTGGGGAGGGTATATTGGATTTGTGCTGATGTTTGTAACATAGAAAAATATTCGTCCTAGACCCACCTTAAAGTATACCAATTGGCTTAGAATCGTTTTCTGAGTCGATTACGCTATGTCCGTCCGTCTGGCTGGCTGGCTGTCCATGTAAACCTTGTGCGCAAGGTACAGGTCGCAATTTTCAAGATAATTGGATGAAATTTGGCGCGCCTATTGAAATGGTTAAAATCGGTCCATTATTTCACCTAGCCCCCATAGAACAGGTCCCCCCAAAAAGTGCTTCTGAGCTCATAATTATGTTAAATATACAGATATATCGATAAATTACGGCACAACTAAGTTTTATAGAAGTCTTGATGACCCTGCCAAATTTCATAAAGATCGGGCCCCATCTGACCCTAGCTCCATACAAAGTCCCCTTCAGAAAATTACTTGAATGTTCCAAATTAACTTATAAACACAAATATCGCGATGAAATTCAGTACAATAAAATATTATGTAAATATAAATATATCCACAAAATTTTATCGGGCTTGGTCCATATTTGCCCCTAGCCCCCATATAAAGCCTCTTTCAGAAAATTAGTTTTTCATTCATAAATTGCTTAAATGTATCGGGACAAGGGAATATTGAAGATAAATGCTTCATTATGAAAAATAAATCACATTTAATATTCATAACTGGTGTAGGGTATCATATGGTCGACCACGCCCGACTATACTTTCTTAGTTGTTCGTTTTAATGCTTGTTAGTTGGAATTGGTCCAGTTTATTTAATTGGTTAAAATATTAAAAATCTTTTTTTTTTTGTAAGAAACAAGAATTTTAATTTAATTTTCTTTATTTTTTTTTTTTTCTATTTTCAGTCTTCGCCTCCTTCTGCTCTCTTAAATGGTTCAGCACTTTTCTTAACCTCTCCTACAACTAAAGATATTTCTACATCCTCTCTAGCCTCTGCTACTAATGACGTCAATTTGATTGTGGCAAATAAACTGAATGCATTAGGAATGCATTCGAATCATCATCAACAGCAACAACAACACACCACCCAGACATTGCCTCAAGGCTGTAATCGGTAAGTTTATGGCTAAAATATTTATATCTGTGTGTGCAATTGTATGTATTTTTCAATATTAATGTAATTTTTTTGTTTTTCTTCATTTATTCTGAAGTCGTTTTTTTGTTCTTTTTTTGCTTTTTTTATAATGAATTTCTGCTTTAATATTTCTTTGCGTTTTTTATTTTCTTTTCATATTTTTATGACCTGTCATTATTCATTAGACCCCGGCTATTTAAACATTTATGGCAACATTTGTTTTTCAGTTTATTACATTTGGTTTATGACTTAAATGTCATAATTAAGTTGCACTCATACGTAGTTCATAAATAATTTTTAATATTCCATTTTTATAGGATATTTATAGTTAAAATTTTATTAGTTTCACGAAGTTTATATTATAATGATAACTATGTAAACTATTGGGGGTTTTTTATACTCTACAAGAAATTCTTGAATTTGACAGAAAAATGTTAATTATTTCACTATGTATTTGTTAACCTTTAAAAAGTTTTTATGTCATGCATTTCGTTCATCATTACATAATGGTAAATTCTACCCCAATCAAATTAGTTTGATCAGATCCGTTTTGCCATTTGAGCGATTTTTCAACGAAATATTTTTGGAAAAGTTTAACAGTTTGATCCTAGCAGTGGGTTATATCATACCAATAATCCTACAGTGACCAACGCTTTATATTATACTAGCATACCCTGGGTGCTTCGCTACCCTAACCAAAATTAAATACATACAAAATTTTGATTTAAAAATTTTCTTATTTGTTCCAAAAAAATTGTGCCTTCAAAAAGGTACCAAACAATTTACTCGAATTTGGTCCTATATAGGCCTTAGTACTCGAATTCCAAAATAATATACCAATAGCTTATTTTGTGTGAGTAAATAAACTACTTTTTCAAATTTTATAAAAATTGGCTCAATGAGTTTGAATAAAATTAAATTTCCCGTTTTTTCCCCTTTTTTGTACTTTTTTCCCCAGTGAAATAGCAAAAAATTTGTTTCAATAAATATTATAGAGCTAGTCCGTAATTTAATAGGAATACTTCAATAAATCGAAAAAGTTTTCTTAATGTGCAAAAAAAAGTACCAAAAATAAAGTTTTCTCCTTTTACACCCAAAAAGGACTGAATTTTAAAAAAGTACGAAATTTTGGGAAATATATAAATAAAATATACAAAAATTTTATTTTGTTTATCAGTTAAAAAGTTATAAAGGGCCAAAAAGGTACCAAAAACACCTTTGTTACACATTTTCACCCCTTAAAAGTACGAATTTCAAAAAAGTACCAGACACCCATCTGCTTGTTTTAAGAGTAGATACATGTGCATTTCAAATTTTTCTTGTATCACTAATATTAGGTAAGAAAATTAAGGAAACCTGTTTTACACGTTTTTTCCCTTTTTTACCCCTAAATGTACAAATTTTCAAAAATCCTCCCTCCTTAGTGGATCTATATAACCAAAAACACATCTACTGTCAAAATTCCATGATTCTAGGTTCAGCCGTTTGGGCTGTGCGATGATGAATCAGTCAGTCAGTAACGCTACCCTTTTATATATATAGACTAGCACTATCCGGTAATAATTTTCAATAACATCCGTTGTCAAAGTATATATACATACAGTATATAAAGAAAAATTATAAACACTTTGGTGTAAATTTGGTACCAGGCGTGTATATTTCTTTTTCCCTCTGTGCAGGGGTATGTTGTTCTCTATGAGCATGTCGGATAAATGAGAAGAGTGTTGGTGGGATGAATGGTGATGGATGAAAGGTATCTTATACAAATGATATCCTTTAATTTTCCTTCCTAGTCCAGTTATGTTCAGGGAAAACTCTGTTCGTGCCAGATTTACCACAGTGTGTTCTCTGTGAGTAAGAACAAAGTCCTCGGTTTATTTGATGGATTCGTGTTTTGGACTACCGAATACGTCTCTAGGTGCTGGTGCCGACTTAACAGATGCCATCCCATCTCCGTGGATGCCATCCCATCACCACGGAAGTGATGTTTTTGCATCTCGGAAGTTAAGCAACGGGGCAGCAATGTTCAGAGATTGGATAGCTCGAATAGTTGAGTAAAGTTGTTGTAAATGGACCGGCAGAACCATGTACATAAAAAAATTGCCACCCTCGTGTAAGATACACAAATGGCCGTTGGTGAGTAGTCTCAGAAGCTAACCCCGTGAAATAGGCCAAGAAATAGGCCAACACGAATGGTGTTCACATAAAGCACTTCGACATTTTTCACCTTCGTGAGAAGGGTATAAAAGTTGCAATATCGTTGTGGGAGCCTAACATTAAGTATTGATATTTATAAGTTAATAAAAAGGACACAGAGAACACACTGTATTAAGTCTGGTATGAAAATAGTCACACAACACCGAAGTATCAATCTTTAAACCAAAATTCTCTCTTAGCGATTTCTATTTAAGCATAACCACTCGTGTATCCCGAAGTTACCTATCCAACAGCTTCGACAGTTTATAGCTTCGACAGACTGAAGGCTAAAGAAATTTCGGATATTTTGTTCTGAATTGAAGAGTATCTTAGAGAGTGTGCTGCATCAAATGAAACAATTTTTTGTTGGACAGGGCAAGATCTGTACTTTAAGGCGGGAAGGGCATCATGTGGCCAAGCGATGTCATAATGGAATGTTACGCTTTCGTGTCTAACCGCCCATTCGGGGCTTCAAACGAATCAGTTGCATTTCGTACATTTTCACAGGTCATAGTCTAATACAATAAAGCTGCATAATTATCTGTTTTTATAGAGTATTAGAAAAACACGTTGATTCTACACAATTTAACAAGCTAAATTATGTTAAATTTTCGCTTTGAAAATTTCAGAGATATATATAACCCAATTTCTTAAATTGATATTAAAATATTATATAAAATTGTTTTTGCACCTTCAGTTATATTAAAAATATTTAATTATAGTAAATAATTTGTATTTCATTTTAGTTTTGCATGCTTTACCTATATTAGTAGTTAACTTAAAAAAAAAACAAATTTCAATTATCCTATTTGTGTATTTATAGAATGAAAGTTTTTAAAGTTTAATCCTGTTAATTGTTTCCATTTTTTTGTATATTATCTATTCTATTTATTGCTAACCTATCCTTGCATTTAACCAAAAAAACTTCATGAAATAAAAAAAAACCTAAATCGATTAACTAAATTCCATCATTAAACCAACCAACCACTATCAAACCAACTTCATCTTATAAAAAATTTTAATCCAAATATTAAAATAAACCAAACTAAAAAAAATAACAAAAAAAAAACTATCCTGTAGTAAAAGTAATGGTTATGCGATCAATGGCACTATACAAACTACCGAAATTCTTTCACAGACTAATGCAACAACAAATGCTAACACAACCTCGGCAACAACTGCAGCAACAGCAAATGATTTGAATTTCTTGCCACAACTAAGGCTGACACCACAAACTCAAGGAACAGAACAGCCTGCAACAACATTTGTATTTACATCGCCGACTTCCACATTCAAACGTAAGAAGCAACAGCAATTGTTAAAAGAAGAACAGGAAGTTGAACAACAAAGGCAAAAACAGCAACAACAACAACTGCAACAGGAGCATTATAACAATAACTTGTATAAAATTGGCAATAGCCACCAAGAAAGGCCAATAGGCACCACTGAAAGTGCAACAACCTTAAGCGAAGATTATCACAGCAGGACTACAATAGTAAATACAAATAATAGAGGAAGTAATTTAACTCCCAAACGGCAGTCTCTACTATTACAACAACAACAACAACAACAACAACCACGAACCAACAGCAGCAGCAACACTAACCCTATAACAAATGATACAAAGACGGTGATAAACAATAGTTTAGGTGTTTTACTAACAGACACCGTTACATATGCACCCTCATCATCGTCTGCAACAACATTCTCTTATATCAACGGAAACGGAACTCTAAACAGAAACTCGAACGGTAACGGATCTACACGTTTAACATTTAAAACGCACACACTACCAGCCATAACAAAAACAACAACCCCTTCTACCTTTATTACGGATGGTGTGGTGGATTTGGTGGCAACAACCAACGTAACAAAATCAAAAGGTCTTACCGGGCGGGAGAATAAACACAACAAACTGTCCGCATCGTTTAAACGTCGTCAGAAAATGCAAGCCAGCAGTAGTGGTGGCAGTGGTACCACAACAGCAACGGCAAAAGGCAACAGTACTTCGAGTCTAATGGATGACATTGAAATGCATTTGGGTTTAATTGGATGGCGCAAAAAGTGTCTTTACACTTTACTGGTGCTCTTAATGCTATTGATAATCATAAACTTAGGACTAACACTATGGATATTGAAGGTCATGGAATTCTCAACGGTAGGTAAAGGTCTAAAAAGTTATTTGTTTTTATGGTAATTTTTCTTTTCACTATAGAAATGCTTATTGTATTTAATGATATTCTTTGGATAGGAATTTTGACTAAATAAGTACTAACTAGACTATACTTCAGTCGATAAACTTGATCATAGACTCATTAGTCTATAGAATAGTTTCAAATAAAGATTCGAATAATGATGGTAATCTATATAGCTGACTAAAGACCAGTCAGTAGACTTGACTGCAAGATAGTCGATAGATAGACTAGTCGATTTAACTATAGACTAGTCTATAAACTCGACTATAGAGTAGTCAACTGACTCGACAATAGATTAGTCTATGGACTCGACTATAGAGCAATCAACTAACTCGACAATAGACTAGAAGATAGACTCGACTATAAACTAGTAAATGGACCTGACTATAGACTAGTCCATAGACTCGATTATAGACAAGTCGATAGACTCGACTATAGACTAGTCGACAGACTCGACTATAGACTAGTCGACAGACTCGATTATAGACTAGTCGATAGACTCGATTATAGACTAGTCGATAGACTCGACTATAGACTAGTCGATAGACTCGACTATAAAATAGTCGATGGATTCGACTATAAACAAGTCAACGTTCTCGACTATAGACTAGTCGATTTATTCTATAGCTTTGACAGTAGACTACTCGATAGACTAGTCTAAAGACTAATCGATGGACTCGACTATAGAATAGTCGATGGACTCAACTATAGACTAGTCGATAGACTAGACTATAGACTAGTCGATAGACTCGACTATAGACTAGTCGATAGACTCGACTCGACTAGTCTATAGAGTCGACTATAGACTAGTCGATAGACTCGACTATAGACTAGTCGATAGACTCGACTATAGACTAGTCGATAGACTCGACTATAGACTAGTCGATAGACTCGACTATAGACTAGTCGATAGACTCGACTATAGACTAGTCGATAGACTCGACTATAGACTAGTCGATAGACTCGACTATAGACTAGTCGATAGACTCGACTATAGACTAGTCGATAGACTCGACTATAGACTAGTCGATAGACTTGACTGTAGACTAGTCGCTAGACTGGACTATAGACTAATCAATATACTCGTAAAAGTCTAATCGATGGACTCGACTATAGAATAGTCGATGGACTCGACTATAGAATAGTCGATGGACTCGACTATAGAATAGTCGATGGACTCGACTATAGAATAGTCGATGGACTCGACTATAGAATAGTCGATGACTCGACTATAGAATAGTTGATGGACTCGACTATAGAATAGTCGATGGACTCGACTATAGAATAGTCGATAGACTCGACTAAAGAATAGTCGATAGACTCGACTATAGAATAGTCGATAGACTCGACTATAGAATAGTCGATAGAATCGACTATAGAATAGTCGATAGACTCGACTATAGAATAGTCGATAGACTCGACTATAGACTAGTAGATAGCGTCGACTATAGACTAGTAGATAGCGTCGATTATAGACTAGTCGATAGTATCGACTATAGGCTAGGCGATAGTATCGACTATAGGCTAGGCGATAGCGTCGACTATGGACTAGTCGATAGCCTCGACTATAGACTAGTAGATAACTTCGACTATAGATTACAATATACCAGTTGACAGACATGACTGTAGTCGATAGACTTGTCTAGGACTAGTCAAATGGCTCTATTATAGAACAGTCGATGTACTCTGCTATAGAATACTTGATCATAGACTCGACTACAGACTAGCTGATAGAATCGACGACGTACTAATCTGTAGACATTACTTAGGACTAGTCGATAGATTAATTTATGGATTAGTTAAATGAATCATCTATAGATTTGTCTATTAATTCTTCTGTAACTAGTTGGCAAAACACTTCAAACGAGAAATCGTTAAGGGTTTTCCACTCTCAGATTTATGTCTAGAGAAAGGTTGTTATAAAGTTACTTATTTCGACTAATTTAAATACATTTCTAGCTTCATCTCTAATATTTTAGCATATGTTTATTTATTTGAATTTTTGTTTCTTTTTGTAAATTTACAGGAAGGTATGGGTCAACTGAAAATTGTTCCTGGTGGTATACAACTAACTGGACAAGCTTTAATTATGGACATGTTAAGAGCATCCACAATACGCTCAAGGCATGGGCAACCTATAGCAATAGGTAAGGATAACAAAACATAATTTTTAATTTGCTTAGCTTAAACAATGTTTAGTTACAAATAGATTAACTAATAATTTTTAAACTTTAATGCGAAAACATTTATATAGTAACTTGAAAGTCCATAATATTGAATATCATATTCATTAAAAACTAAATATTTTACAAACTATTTTACAAGAATTTATATGAATATTTCTGAAACTTTTCTTATGGAGTTACTATATTTGGCCATCAACTGGCCGTACATTATTTATTCCTTTTATTTACTTCATAAACAAATAAGTAAATTTTATTTTTTTTATTTATTCATATTCTACATAAATGTGTATACATTTACTTATTATTCGAATTAGTAATTTACATAAATTTACATTTGTTTCCGGCACATACAATCTACTGCTAATAATCATAAAGATACAAATGAAAACCCTATGAAATGTATGTGTTTAAGTTTGTTCAACATCTTCTTTATTTCCTGTAAAATACTCACATGCACATTTCCTCCTGGAATTACGTAAATAGTAGTTTGTATGTGTTTATTTCTAATCATTATTTGTATTTGTTTATTTATGTATATGTGAGTATATTATTCGGAAATTGTACTAGTCATTTGACATTCTTGTTTATTTGTTTAATATTTAGTCGTATAAGTGATATTTGCTTTTACATCCAAAATGTATTTACCTTGAGGTCATAATTTGTAAAAATCATGACTTTCATTTGTTTCTATTTGTCGAAGAATTAATGAAGTGGAATTGAATGTAGATACATATGTAGGACTTTGTTTATCATATGATAACCAGAAATTTTAGTTAAAGTTAGAGTTAAAGGGATCATTGATTAGAATTAAGGCAAATTACAATAACTGGTTTCATTTTGTAGAAATTATAAATATATGATATAGCAAATCATTATAGAAGAATTTTTAGTCTATAGACTATAGACTAGACTATAGACTAGACTATAGACTAGACTATAGACTAGACTATAGACTAGACTATAGACTAGACATAGACTAGACTATAGACTAGACTATAGACTAGACTATAGACTAGACTATAGACTAGACTATAGACTAGACTATAGACTAGACTATAGACTAGACTATAGACTAGACTATAGACTAGACTATAGACTAGACTATAGACTAGACTATAGACTAGACTATAGACTAGACTAGACTAGACTATAGCTAGTCTATAGACTAGTCTATAGTCTAGACTATAGACTAGTCTATAGTCTAGTCTATAGTCTAGTCTATAGTCTAGTCTATAGTCTAGTCTATAGTCTAGTCTATAGTCTAGTCTATAGTCTAGTCTATAGTCTAGTCTATAGTCTAGTCTATAGTCTAGTCTATAGTCTAGTCTATAGTAGTCTATAGTCTAGTCTATAGTCTATAGACTAAAAATTCTTCTATAATGATTTTGCTATATCATATATTTATAATTTCTACAAAATGAAACCAGTTATTGTAATTTGCCTTATTCTAATCAATGATCCCTTTAACTCTAACTTTAACTAAAATTTCTGGTTTATC